GTTATCAGATCTTGAACATTATCCTGATTAACATCAACGACAATTAATTGTGTTGGACCAACGCCTCCGGTTGGATAGACACGTTGTGATTGGAATGTACCGTCAATATTTCCGATGAAAACACCGATTGTGTTACTGAGAGCATTAACAATGGCTAAATCAATTCTCGTGTCTCCATTGAAATCTCCTGTGACAATGAAACGTGGCCCGGATCCTGCCGAATAGATAGTGGGTGGTGTTTGAAATGATCCATTCCCATATCCGAATAGAACACTGATTGTATTGTTTCCATAATTTGCCACAGCCACATCTAACATGCTATCCTGATTGAATTTTGCAGTTACCAGTGAAATTGGCAACGATCCACCGGTTGGAAACAATTTTGGCGGCGTCGTAAATGTCCCGTTCCCGTATCCGAGATGGACACAGATCATATCTGACGAATAACTGATTGTGATTAAATCTAGTTTATTATCCCCGTTAAAATCCTGTGTAATCAATTGTTGTGGTACATAACAAGTCGCGTACAGTCGTTGTGTTTTAAATGTGCCATTACCGTTCCCAATAAGGACACTAATTGTATAATTCATGGAATTAGTAACGGCCAAATCGATTTTACTATCTTGATTGAAATCACCGGTGGCAACCGAGGATGGATAACTGGATGTGGAATACATCCGTTGGGATTTGAATGTCCCGTTCCCGTTTCCAATGTAAATCGACACGGTATTGTTACCAAGATTGGTAATAACAATGTCAGTTTTATTGTCACCATTGAAATCATTGGTACTGACTGACAAAGGGTTCACACCAGTGGAATAGGTTGTCGGACTTTGAATGTGAGTTGATGAACAAACTAAACGAAATAAACAAACATCACATTAAGAGACCAAAGTGTCTTGTGACCGTGACCTCGAACCCGGCCGGCTCAGAGAAAACTTTTGATATTTATGAGATACCGTAGGATATTTGCAAGCGGTTCCATATATACACTTGAAGACAGAGTCATGTCGAAAAATCTTGAACTACTACTTTAGTGTATAATTATATCTGATGAGGTCTTGCCCGTTATGATGTATCGGTGCGTTCGTTCCAATTTTAATGAAACGGCTAAACATCACGAGTATGTGGGTACTTCCACCAACCCAGAACTTCTTACAAAAATTGATTTTAGATTTATCTGAAACTTTGTGTTTAAAGACAACTCACCTAATACCACTAGCAAGTTCAGGAAGGCTCTCGGAAATTAAAACCTTTTGAAATTCCGTGCTGGAAAGCGGCAAGCCGCAAAACTTCGATGTTTTTCGCAGTAAGCCTTTTCCACAGCTGAACAAGTATATAAAAAGCGAGTATAGAGAGATCCGTAAAGTTCAATAGCAATAGTCTGCTTGCAATTGGAGCCGAAGAGCACTAATCAGCGGACAAAATCATTATTTAACAAAGAAGCAGAACCAATTAACAGTTTTAGAACAGATAACCACATCTCCCGTGACTGACGATCCCAATAAAATAATAGAATATGCAGATGAGTATGTAAAACTCAACTTTAAAAAAGACTCGAAAAATCGAGTTTTTCATCACTTTCTAGTTTTTCCGAAAGTTCAACCAGAAGGACTGCTCTAAAAAGTTCAGGGAACACATATTCATGATTGCCGCCAAATTCTCTATCGCATGGTTTATAAATAAAAGAAAAATAAATTCCACTGCACGTCTGCTTTAGCTGCATCTTACTATCCAACGTGTTTTCGTAAACATGATATCGAATTTAGATAATCATAGACATGAACACATTGTGACTGAATATGTCAGTCGTCTGTTCCAGATACTCGAAGAAATTTTCTCATCACCTTCTTTATTTAAAATCAATGATTTGAAATCTGCTATCCGAAGTTTAAAGAGCAAAGACTCATCAGGACCCGATACAGTCTCAAACAAGCTCATTAAACAGCTTCCAACATCATATTACTCATTTATCTTGAGCTCACTTAATAAAATGCTTGTTTTGAACATTTTTTCTTCACACCAGAAAATCAGCAAAATGATTTTGCTTCCAAAAGAAAAAACAACTATAACAAATGTGAAAAATACCAGACCAATATCATTATTATCTCGTCTGGGTAAATGGTACGACAAGTACTTCCTAATGTATCTGGCTAAATGGATTGGTGGCAGCGGTATATTACGATCTGAACAACCAGGCTTCAGAAATCATCATTCAACAACGTCATGTTTCACTCAATTTCTGCAAGATGCCACATCCGCATCAGAACAACACACAGCAGCAAACTCGATCTATTACGACTTTTTAAAGGCTTTCAATCAATTGTGACATGTCCGGTTGGTCTAGAAATTAGGCCAGCAGACCTGTCCGAGAGAGCTAGTGCACTTTGTTCATCTGTAGTTACAAAACAGAAAGATCCTACATTGAAATGCATGAGATAAAGTCAAAAACCTTCAATATATACATTACTGTTCCTCTTCTATCATGCCGAACTTCCAACAGCACTTACAGCCGCCAGTCACACACAATGATATACAGGTGATCTCATCATCTGGTGGTTGAAGGATACATTTGCTAGTAAAATACGAGAATTAGCTCAAAAAATAATAAATCAGATGGTGGAATACTCAATTCTGTGGAACTAACCCATAAATATTGTCAAAAATCATTGCAATGGTTACGGAGAGCAACTTATCTGCTAAGAATCGGCTTGAAAATAAGCGAAGAAGCATTGAAACAAATCAATGTATTCAAATTATTAGATTTCTATGTTGAGCCAAGGTTGTCATTTAACACACACACTAAAGAAATCTAACTAAGGTAAAAGCAATAGTTCAATGTTAAAATACGTTTCAAGATCAAAAATATTCTAGTTAAGCAGCAGACAATTGATTTTTAATATTTATCTGCTCCCTTACATGCTACTACTTTATGTTATTTAGCCTCTGTTATGTGACGCACTAAGAAAGACGATTAAGGTCAGAAACGTTTTCGATACTTTACTTGAAGTACCGCATATTGGTCGTTGTATACATGTCAGATTCAGATCTTGTCTACACCAACTATCCATTCGACATTGTGATCCATTGTATAGAAGATTTAAACATATTTGGCCATTCCAGAAGGTTCCCAATGGACATTGACATGTTCCATTTGAACAGATGAGATATCGATATTGCTCACATAGGCCACACGTTTGATTATAATTAAAATAGTATGATGGTCTGTAGGCTAGTGCACCAACTCTTGATGACAATGATGCTGATGCGATCGTACCTGTTGTATAATCACTTTTATACAATTTACATTGTAATGTAAGAGAATCGTAATTGAATGTACGACACTGACGATTGAGATTACACGACTGACTACAAGTTAAAAGTGATCCGACAAACAGTGTTGAAAGAAATTCACTTGGATTTTGCGGTTGAAATTTGATACCAACGCTTGTGAATTCAATATCAGATTCACGAATGAATTGTGAAGAAACTGATGATAATAGAATAAGAAAACCAACTAGGGTATACATGATTTTTGATTTCTGAACTTGTTAAACTGAAAGTATGTTCTTAGTGAGAAGGTGTTGTTCTTCATTAAATTAAGTATTTTTGTTGTCAGTACCTGCTACTTATAAAACATATTGAAAAGAACATGATTTATTCTTTCTATTTTAAAAAATTCATTTCCGAGTAGCAGTGAGTACTTCCATTTAGTAGCGCTTTCCATTTTTCCTTTCTTATAATATAAAAATGCAAAAAATATTCTTAAAAGTCCATTAGTATAAGTAGTAAAATGAACATACATTCAGTATAAAAAGTAGATTAAAAAAGACTATAGTAGTTACTCAATCAGGTGTTTCATGCCTTTTAAAAAGCATTTTATCTAAAACACGTACATCAAATAAATAATTAGAATTCATATTCAAACGAAGTAAAAAATACAAATTTAATTGATACTTCTTCACATGAAGATGATAAAATACTGAGTATCATTCTTTTTTCTAAACAATCATTATATTCAATCTTTATAATTGGTAAGATGGTGGGTTCAACACATCTATTAGGCTATCGAGTGTGTTGAGCGGTATTTCTAGGGATCATACTGAGATGCTATGGATACCTACCTATAAAGTATACCGACCACAGTATGTTCCTCGTTGACTCGCCTGAGCAGCTAGTCTATCAGTAGGGTACTTCCGCACAGGTCCGCCCACTTTATACACGACTTAAAGCCGGGAAGGTCTGATTATATGCAATCGATAGTCCTACTAAAGGTATGGAAAGACCACTGTCGGCCCATGGAAAAATTATT